TGGCGGGCACTTGTAACCCTAGCTAGTCAGGAGGCTGAGGCAAAAGAATCGCTTGAACCCAGGAGGTGAAGGTTGTGGTCAGCCGAGATCCCGCCACTGCACTCCAGTCTGGGCTACAGAGCAAGACTCCATCTCAAAAAAACAGTTAAAGAAATAGGTAGAATTAATTTTTTGTATTTTATCTAGCCAAATATATCTGAAATATTATCATTTCAATGTGCAGTCGATGTAAAAATTCAAGGTCTTTTTATTTTTTGTATTATGTTTTCAAAATCCAGTGTATCTTTATACATACAGCACATCTCAATTCAGATGAAGCCGATTTCGAGTGCCCAGTAGCCCTTAGAGAATGCAAGTTCTAAAAGAAATGGCTCATCTGAGCTCAGGAAAGCCATGCCACGATTGATGAGCAATGCCTGCTCCAGGAATGGGCTAGGGCTGAAAGAAGCTACGAGCCATGTGTTTCCCCAGCGTGGTTCAGGCTCACACCAAGGACGTGCTTGCCCTGCCTAAGCCCTTCTGAGCCATTCATTCTGCCCAAACTGCCAGAGCCCTGGGACCCTGACTTGGTTTGGGGGCAGCAGTTCTGGTGTGAACATCATCCTATAGAAAGGCCCCAGCAGGCACCTCTGGGGTGTGGTCCTGTGCTCCTTCCCTTGATGGGGGCTGACTCACGGTCATTGGCGACCTTGAGAATGTGGGTTTTGTTTTTGTTTATTTCCCAAGGTCTCTTCCTCCCAGAGCTAACCAGTACTGACATAAACGTGTTTCCTGAGCCAGATTTAGCTATTTCAGCCCCATTCCACTGGCCCACGCCTGCAAATCTCCTGCCTGGCACTCTAGCCAGGATGGCTGCACTTTATTTTCCAGGAAGTGAGAGGCTAAAATTGGACCATAGAAGGAGCTAGAAACACCTGGAAATGGTGAGGAGTGGGTCGTCGGTGTAAGGAATGGGGGTGAGAAAAAATGGACCTCAGGCTCCCATCATCCTCACCGTGATTACCATTATCACCTACCGTCACCCCTGCTCAAAATCCTTCAATGGCTCGCTAGTGTCTGCAGGATCTTGCTTTAGTTCCCAGGATCAGGCACTGATGGAGTCATCCAGTCTCACCTCTAGATACCCGCCCTTCTCTCATCTTATTCATTCAGTAAGCACGTCTTGAATACCTACTATGTGCCAGGCACTGTTCTAGGTACTAGAGACACAGCTGTGAACAAAGCTGACAAGGATTTCCGCCTTCATGGATCTCACTTTATTCCAGCCAGGCCGTAACTCCCCAGGTGCTCTCCGACTCCCAGGCTTTTGCAAATGCTGTCCCCTCTCCATTCAGTCACTCTCCTCCTGGGAGACTTCTATGCATCCTGTAAGGCCCTACTCAAAGTCTTCCCTGAGCACTCCCCCAGATGGGTTAGGTGCTCCCTCTAAGCTCCCACCTCCCACCTAGGACCATCACACGTATGGTCACTATCCAGCCCACCTCCCTTCCCTACCAGGCTTTGAGTGTCTCCAGGGAAGGGGCTGTGCCTTCTCCCCCAGCAACCCCAAAGCTTGCTTCTAGGTGCACCCTCCCAAAGGTCATGGGTGAGCAGGTTGAGGCATTAGTGTAGGGGGGATCCAGGACTCCTCTGAAGATTTCCAGGTCTTTCTGAAACCTCTGCCGGGGAGCATCCTCCTGGCATTCCAGCGGAGGGAATCACAGGAGCAAATGCATAGAGTGGTTCCCGCAAAGGAAAGGAAGGTGGAAGACGGAAGAGATGGAAAGGCATAGTAGGGACATGAATGCTGGATCCAGATGCATTGGTCTGCAGGTGCAGGGAGCTGTTAAAGGGTTTGGTGCAGCAGAGAGGCAAGAGGACAGAGCCTTCCCCTGTGGGGAGAGGATGGGACATGTGGATGGGAATAAACCGTAGTGACTCTTCAGATTCCTAAAGTGGGATGGAGGCAGAATGAAGTCTCCAGCTCCCTGCTGGCTTCCCCAGGAGAGCTGAGCTTTCAGTCTCATCTCTCGTCCTCCTCCCCAGTGAGAATGTGCCAGAGAGGGCAGAAGGGTGGGCCTGGCTCCTGCTCCTGGCCTGGCTCCTGTCCCTGTCCTGGCCCTCAAGAAGCCAGTGCTGGCACTGTGGATATTGTGTGGCTATGGTTAGAGCAGATCCTCCCACCACCTGGGCCCAGCCTAACTGTCCTGCCCACACACCGCCAGCCAGAGGCCTGCTGTGCTGCTTGTCCACTGGGGAAAACAGGGCGGGAGGCTTGTGCCTGGCTGGTCTCTTCTCTGCCGGCTCATTTACATGGAATTTACACGGGCTCATTTCATGCCTTAATGCACACGGCTTTACTCCCAGCCCAGCCTCTCCTGGGGCCTCCACAGAGACAAAGGAGTGGGTTCCATCACTCAAATCCTCTGCCATGGAGCCATCAGAGCACCAAAAGCATCTCTGAAGGAAACAGGGGTGCTGCTGAGGCCCAGAGAGGGCAGGGAACTCACTGGAGGCCACTAGCACCCAAGGAGGGACCAAGGCTGCCTCAAATTTTCTCCACTCGCCACTCAGCCCACTTGGGGCTGGAATTCACTCCCATCCTTTGCTTTGCCAGGATGAGCCTTTGCTTTGCTCACCAGCCTCGAGCTTGCTGAGCGGAAGCCCGTGAGGCCCCTGTCCTGCTGCCCATGCTTGGCTGTGCACTGGAATACAGACAGACCAGGGCAGACAAGATGTGCAGGAAAGGGGTCCGCAGAGAGGCGGACGGGGAAGAAACGAGGCTCGGGGAAGGCAAGGATCTGCCCAGGACTGCAAATGGTGACAGCAGCCCCGGGTCTCTGCCCCCAGGTGCCCAGGGCTCTTCTGCATCCCCCAAACTCCCAAAGACCCTTTTCCCATGCACCTGCTGAGACCTCGGTGCCCCTGGGGAATGCTGAGTGTTGGGGGAGAAAAGAATAGGGAGACTCCTCAGGAATGGGCTGGCTACGAGATCGCGGAGCAAACTGCAGTGGGAGGGAGCGCTGCGGGTGGAGGCAATTCCAGTCCTGTGGGGTCTGCCAGAGCCAACCAGAAGCTAGGCTCCGATAAAGCGGACTGCCCCAAGTCTGCCACGGGCCCCTCCAGCAGTCATGGCTCAGGAAAAATGCCTAGCAGACTCCAAAGGCCTAGGTCCTTGCCTCCAGGGGCAGGGGGCAGAGAGAAGGGAACAAGGGGGAGAGGAGGCCGCTGGGGGACATCTGGACATCTGCTGTTCCCCCTATTGTCCCTGCCCTACATCCCAGGGCCACTGCCCTCATCCTGACCTCTACCAGTCACCGGACAGCCTCCTAACTCCCCTCCATCCTCCCACCCAGCCTCAGAGGCTCCTTCTGGCACAAACTTACGTGTTCTAAAACCTATTTACTTGGTCTTGGAGAGAACTCTGAGTTTCTACAACTCAAATCCCACCTCATCATTCATAAACCCTGCCCTCAGTTCCCTCCCTAGTCTCTAATCCTCACCCAGACCCCTATCCTGCCTGGAGCAAATCCTATTCCCTCAGCCCCTTTGGCGGCACCAGCCTCCTGCACCCACAGCCAAGACCACAGAATCCCACAGGGCCGCATTTGATCGGCTTTCCCTCCAGAACTGCCCCTTGAAGGCAGGGAGGCCTGAGGCTGTTCCTAGCATGGCTCAGGCCAGGCCTCCCAGGAGAAGCGGCAGGAGGTGGAGGCTGGGAATGGGGAAAAGGGGTGCAGGAGCTATCGGGGATCTGGGGTCAAGGATTGGGCAGGCAGCACGCTGCTCAGGAGTCATGGGTTCCGGTCCCCAGTCCTGCCTCTCACTAGCTAGAGCCCTGCTGATCTCACTCCTGGGCTCTAACCAGGACACGTGAGAATGCATGTGATGCTCATGCGGCCAGGGGGTGGCGAGTAATACACAGGAGCCCCACCCTCACCCCCTGACCAGGACATCTATGGAGGCAAGGAGGAGGCAAGGAACAGGCACAGGTAAATAAATAGCTTGTTTATTAGTAATATGTTACATTATTAAAGTGCATTGAGAAGAGGTGCAGGGGCCGAAGCTGGGAGGCCGCCGGCCCCAGGCCCTGCCCTGGGTGGCCAGACACAGCCGGAGAAGGGCCCAGCTCCCCCTGAAATGGATGGACAGGGCTGGGGGCAGGGCCACTGCCTGGAGAGCTCGGCCCAGGCCATCCCCACAGGAATTTTCACAGTTTAGCCTAAGTTATAACATGTCCTGAGCGAAGGTGGGAGGCTAGGAGCATGGAAGCACAGCCCCTGGGGAAGGGGGCTGAGGGGAAGGGAGGAGACCCCCCGCCCCCCAACCCTCAACGCCAAGGGCAGAGTCCTGGAACCTCCCCCTGAGGACCCGGCTCCTCCTTCTAAATGAACACGGCGAACCTAGGGCTGTTTTCTCCTTCATTCTCCCCTGTCTCCCTCCCCCCACCATAACCACCCCCAACACTGGGGGCTCCAACCACGTCCCCCCTCAGACCGGGCTCCCAGGGCAGAGCCAGCTCATGCCACTCTCCAAGAACCCACGCCCGTCCGTCTCCAGACTCTTACCCCATCCCCAGGAGCCTCAGACTGGGATCGCCCCCCTCCCCAACCCATCCCTTCCCAGCCCCTCCCTTTCCCACCCCCCCAGCATGTAGTTTTGGTATTTTCATACAGATGCAGTCAGAAGTAGCTATACATGAAATAAGCCTAACATAAAAATAGAGCTTTTTCCGTCCTTCCGTCCGGAAAGCAAACATCCTTCAATAAACATGCAAGGCGGCTGTCCTGTGAGAACCAGGGCCGGAGAGGGAGCTGCAGAGGCCAGGGCTGGGCAGAGGGTGGCCCTGGGTCTTCAGGAACACACGCCATCCAGCCACGGGAGAGGGAGAGGAAGGAGGCAATGTGGGCACCAAGAGTCCAGAAGACTCGGGCCTCAGCCCCAGGGTCCAGAGGTGGGGTCCCAGCTCCCCTTTCCAAACCCACTCCCCGACCCCTGGGTTCTTGGGCCAGAAGCATCACTGCATTTAGTCAAGTTTGAGGAATCTTTGAAAAATATTTTCCAGAAGACAAAGTCTTGGGTCATCGATGCCCCAGCTTCACAGTCGGTGCCCTCATGCTCAGCCCCTCACCACCCGTGTGCCACCTGGGGCCCAGCAGCCGCCTGTGGCTAGACCTCTCCAGGCCTGGCATCCTCCACTGGGTTATTCTGTCCCCTGGAAGAAGCAGCAGTCAAGGAGCTCCCGGGCCAGCCGGCTCTGAGTGTGAGATGTTCTAGTGTCCTGGGCTGCAGATGCCCGAGGGATGCCCAGCCTCAGGAGGCCCTAGTGGACCAGCAAGCCGAGAGTGAGGACCCCCAGCCAGAGGGAGGTGGCCAGGGCATGGGCGCAGCCCAGCAGGTGCTCAGCCATGATGCCGTCCTCGGGCAGCAGCTGCCAGTGCTGAGCCTCGAGGAAGTAGGAGCCCTCCTGGGCCTCACAGAAGTAGTGGCCGTACTGCTGGGCCGTGAGGTTCTCGATGAACAGGATGCAGTTGGGGCTCTGGTGACCAGGTTCGCAGCTCTGCTCCACGTTTTCCTTGTGGCGCCATGAGTAGGTGGCATGGCGGGATTCCATGGGGCAGCTCAGGTAGTAGCGGGAGTTTGGGGCCAGGGAAACCTTCTGCAGTGGGGCCTTGTCTGGGGAGGCAGCGGGAAAGCAGCCGTGAGGAGGGGCCAAGCGCACCCAGGGGCGGATGTGCCCACCCCAGGGACTGGGATCCCAGGACAGGGCTTCTGAATGAAAGTGGGGAACCTCCTCAGCTTCCTCCTTTGCTCTCCCGTCTCCCTCACCCCACTGAGAGGGCTCGCTCAGCAGGACCGTAACCTGCCTCACGTGCCTGGGGCCCACAGGACAAGGCCATGTGTCCTGCAGACCAGGACAATCAGGGCAGGGCCGCACCCTCCTCATGGACCACAGCCACCACAGGGCCAGATCAGGTACCTGGTTTTGGGTTGGGGCACTCCTTGTGTGGCTCGGCTGGATTAATGGACTGCAGCACTGGCCTGGAGTGAGAAGGAAGAAAGAGGCTCAGCAGACCTGGCCCGCCTGTCCTCACCCCAACGCAGCTCCAGCCGAGAGGAGGGGCCCACCAGAAAGGCCCAGTACCGACACCTCCTCCAGCCCGTCCACACCTCCCCCACTCCCATGCCCACCTCCTCCCAGGGATGAGGGATCCCAGCCAACGTACCACGGGGCACTGTAGATGGAGACGCAGCGGCCCTGGTCCCAGCCGCAGTAGGGGTCTCGGGACATGAGGCAGCCATGGCAGCCTCCGCCATAGACCTCACACAGGTCCAGGGGCACCTGGCTCACCTCCCACTGGGAGCTCACATACAGCTTCCGCTGGAAGGACAGCAGGACTGGGTCAGGCCCGGGCCCCACCCCACATTCAATCCTAAGCGCCCGGGCCCTAAGGCCTAGAGGCTCTTAAAAGAACCACAAATCACATGCAAAGGAGCCTGTCCTCAGCTGCGGTCACTGCCTAGCCCATGGGATGTGGTGCGGGGAGGCTCACCCGGTCAGCATCCAGCGACATGGCCTGGATGGCGGCCGCGCGGCGGAAGGGCTGGATCTCCACGACGTTGAAGACGAGGCCGCGCTCCCGCTCCCCTGGCTCTACCACCTTGTGGATGGTACCCCTGTCTGTGGGTGGTGCGCAGAGGGTCAGTGGGCGGGAGCCCCACTGTGGAGCCGGGCAGCCTCCCTCTAGCCTGGGGAGGGGTGGGAAGTCCCGGCTCAGGCGAGGGTCACAAGACTGGGTGGGCAGGGCGAGGAGAGCGTGACTGGGGAGGAATGTGGGAGCCCGAAGGCAGCCCAGAAGCTTCCAAGGCTGGTCCAGAAAGGCCATCCTGGGAGGTCTAGGGGTCCCCGGATATGGCTCCCAACATGCCCAAGGCTATGCGGGAAGCTGTGGCAGGAAGAACCGGGGCGGGAGCCCCACACCCGCAAGGACAGTGCGGCTTCTGTCCACGCATCGTCTCATCTAACCCTCCATAGCCCTGTGAGGCACCTGTCATCTTCCTCACCCCACAGATAAGGAAATCAGGAAATCAGGCTCAGAAAGGCTAAGCCACTTGCTCAAGGTCACACAGCTGGCAAGCAGCAGACCAAGTCAGAACCGAAATCGGTCAGAGCCCAACCACTCAGCTGCTTCTACAACTCCCCTGCCTCCTGGACTCTTTAGGGAATATATTTACTTTAAATACATTTTTTTTATTTTGGAGTAATTTTAGATTTCCAGAAAAGTTGCAAAGATAGTACAGAGAGTTCCAATCTACCCTTCTCCAGTTCCCCCAATGTTACCGTCTTACATAACTGCGGTATATTTGTCACAACTAGGCAACCAACATTGGTGCATTACTATTAACAAAACTACAGGCTTTATTTGGATTTCACTAGTTTTTCCACAAACGTCCTTCTTCTGTTCTAGGATCCAATTCAGGACTCCACATTGCATTTGGTCTTAGGGGATATCTTAATTTTATAAGATCTAAAAAGGATCTTGGATTTTTTTTTTTTTTTTTTTGAGACAG